AAATATATATATATATATATATATATATATATATATATATATATATATATATATATATATTTTTTTTTTTTTTTTTTTTTTTTTTTGTCCTTTTTGAGACCAGCCGCACCGCGCTCAGCCAGTGAGCGCTGTGAGCACACCGGTCATCCCTATATAGGATCCGAACCCACAGCGGGAGCGCTGCTGCGCTTTCCCAGCACCGCACTCTCCCGAGTGCGCCACGGGCTCTGCCCATATATTTTGTTTTGTTTTTAAAGGATGACCGGTAAGGAGATCTTAACCCTTGACTTGGTGTTGTTAGCACCATGCTCTCCCAAGTGAGCCATGGGCCAGCCCTCAATGCATATATTTAGAGGACCTAATTTTTTTTTGGCTAATCTCATTGGGAAAATTAAGGAAAGCTTTATATTTAATTGCCTAATAGTTGAGCACATTTGGGGCTTTATTTTCCCTTTTGAATATGTTTTTTTCTAGGAGACTGATATCAGTTGCCTAATCCTTGTAGCATTTATATTTCTCATAAAATTAACTGGTAGTCTGCTTTACATAGCAGTTCTTTAAGTTAAATTAGCATGAAAAGTGCCCCCTAGAGACTGATCCACTATAGATTACTACTGACAAACTCAAATTTCTGGACCTTCAAAGCTGAGTGTTTACCACACCAAAGGACACTCACTTTGTGACCCTACAGAGCATACATCTCTTCAAAGCAGCAAGTTTGGCCATCTAGAACCACAATGGAAGGGGGAAAAAAAAGAATATGTTTCATATAAGTTATTACTGTGAGAGAATTCTGTTAGAAAACAAACATTCCGTTTTTAAACTTAGATGCAGATCCCCATACCAGCCAGCCACCCAAAAAAATAAACAAGTAAATAAACTACTTAGGTGAACCTTCTAAACTTGTACTTCCTGAATAATCAACTACACTGAGATTACTCAATAAAAATGGACGAAAATAGTCTACTCAGAAAATGTAACCCTAAATGACTTCTTATAAACTGCAGAATCCAAGGTAATGAAGAAAATGCTATTCTAGGGCCGGCCCAGCGGCGCACTCGGTAGAGTGCGGCGCTTGAGAGCGCAGCGGCGCTCCCGCCAAGGGTTCGGATCCCATACAGAGACCGGTCCGCTCATTGGTTGAGCGCGGTGCAGGCGCGACACCGAGGGTTGCGATCCCGTTGCCGGTCGCGGTACGGGCGCGACACCGTGGGTTGCGACACCATGGGTTGCGATCCCGTTGCCGGTCGCGGTACGGGCGCGACACCGTGGGTTGCGACACCATGGGTTGCGATCCCGTTACCGGTCATGAAAAAAGACAAAAAGGAAAAAAAAAATGCTATTCTAACAGTTAAGTCTAGAAATTCATTACCCCTCCTCCCACTATCTATATTACTTATACCTCAACTGTCACTAGGAAGTGTTAAGAGACACAAGTCAGAAAGAAAAAAAAAAATAAGAAAAACTAAACCCAAAGCATGAGATCTAGAAATATGAGACTTTGGAATGGCAATTTTTTATGTTTCTACAACTCCTAAGGTGATCACAGGTCAAGTGAAGAGCAAAACCTTAGTAAGATATAAGTAATTAGGATGATTACTCACTTCTGGGTTTCTAAACTGAATTCTCTTCCTTAGGCATGAAACCAAAGCAAACTCTTGAACACCTTTTTATTTTTCTTAAAAAAAATCCACAAAGAAATAATAAATGTCTGAGGTGATATACTAATTACCCTGACTTGATTATTACACAATGTATTGAAACATCACACTGTACCCCATAAAGATGCACAATTATTATATGTCAAAAATAAAATAAGACTTAGAAAAGAAACATAAATACGGAATTTCACAAAATAAATAGTTATTCAAGTACAATCACCTCCTCATTATTCACCTCATTATTATTGGTTTAGGCCAAGCACCTATTGACATTCACTTTCTCTACACTAACTGGTCTGAGCATTTCTCAATCCACTTTCTACATGCCTATGTCCACAAACTTTGGCATCGATTGAACAACATGTCTCTGAGATATATTCAATGGAAGAATTTGTTCCTGGATATTTGTACTAACACTAACTGGTCTGAGCATTTCTCAATCCACTTTCTACATGCCTATGTCCACAAACTTTGGCATCAATTGAACAACATGTCTCTGAGATATATTCAATGGAAGAATTTGTTCCTGGATATTTGTACTAAAACACGCTAAAACCAAAAATCGAAATATCATATTAATTAAGAAGAAATTATTATGATATATGCAGTAAAAGGGAATTGAAAGAATTATTTCCAAATCAACTGCACCACATAAATTCAGTCAAATATGACTGCAATGTATCACAGCAAACTCCTCCTGTGGTCTTGCACTTTGCTTTATACTTGTTCCAATAGGACTCAAACTGTCTCAGATGCAGTTCAAAATAATCATCACATACTTCACAACAGAAATTGTAGATATCAACCATGGTATGAGCCAAAATTCCAATAACAGCAGTAGCCACTTTCTGTGATTTCCACAGACCATAAGAGTAGAAGATGAAGCCACATTTTCAATGAAAGGTTGGATTTTGCAAAAAAAAGATTCCTTTCAAAAAGAGACATGACAATTGGCAATTGCAGTGAACCCATTTCCACAAACAGCCCTCTTTGCATTGGTGCTGTACCATCTACCATAAGGTATAGTAACAAGGAACGTTCAGGAGACATGGATAACGAATTACACTGCTTCAAGAAGTCAATGGCTGGCAGGTTCGAAGCACTTACAATAATAGGCTGCAGTGTATATTGAAATAAACATCCATCCCTTGGGAGAAGCAAAATGAAATGAAAATTTTCTCAAAAATAAAACCACTAAAAAATTAAATTTGAATTTGATGCACAGGGGTTAATGACAAGTGAGAAATCTGACCCACAGAGACAAATTGTTCAACTGATCTGAAATTTCCTATTTTCTCCCCTACCATTTCTCATGTGTACAGTTTGATTTTCAAAAATTTCACCAAATGACTAGACTTTCAAAAAAGAATTATATTCTTCCTTGAAGCAAGATGATGAACTATGACACTTTATTAAAGCTGTTATTGCTCACAAATAGCTATCTTCAACCCTCCTAGGTTATTAATCTATTAACAGCATACGCAGAACATTCCATATACTAACTATATAAAATATTCAAAGGTCTTATGTGGAGTTACAACTTACTTTAGTGGATCTTCTTGATCACTGTCTATGCTATCAGCTTCGCTGTCAGGGTCACCTCTCCATGTCTGATCCACAGTAACAGGTTCCTGCTCACCATCACTCCAGCTGTCTTCATCTGAGGAAAGGGAGAGCAGTCATTAAAGACTCCCTCTGTAACTTCACCACACAAAATTAAGTTACTTAACATATCAACCCAAATCTTTAAAATTAAAAAAAAAAGACTTAGTACAAATGCACTGGCAAATAAAAACACTTAAAAGGTCATCAACTCAAGAGAGTAAACCTAAGCAAACACTACTTCAAATTCAAAAGAATTGGTGAACACCACAGCAATCCTGGAATTATCATCAAATTCCCAGCAAATAAATAATACTGCCCAATATGCTTAAGGCACTGTGCTAAACTAATATAAGTTTTCTTAACCTTCTTCCTTGGTTTTCATTCTAGGAGAGAAGATCCTTACCCAATATTCGGCTGGCTTCACTGCGGCTACTTTCTGGAGTCTGTGATCCCAGCTCTGTCTTAGCATATGAGCTCAGCTGGCACAAGAGTGTTTCACCCATAGGCCCTGAGTTGGTCTTTTTCATTTGAGCATGAAGTGCCAGGGCATTCCTACGGGCATGTTCAGCACAGAAGGACACCCTGAAGAGACAAAATATTAATATTTTAGAGGTCTCTTCTTGAAAGGGTTCTATGATTTTCATAGTCACCAATCTTTAGATCATTTTTTTAGGGAATTAAAATGAGTATTACATTCATTTCTAAAAAGGCCAGTGAGTCAGAGGAATTTAACTGGCCCAAGGTCAAGTCATTTGGTGTTATTAAAGAGAAATGCAGGTAGCGAAATCCACTGCTGTATCCATCAAACAAAACATAACAACTTTACATTACGATGTGGACATCACCTCTTAACAAATCAAGAGATACCTTCATCTTTCAATTTTGATTCTGGAAGGCAACTCTACATTTTATCATCAATCCACTATAGGTAATAAGATATGGGACACAATTTTAAAACTTGAAAATTTTCAAGTCAAACAAAACTGTCAAGTCACGTTTTTGCATATATCTTTGCGTATATGATGAAATCTGTGAAGCCTTTTACAGAAGAATATACACATATACAAATCTGCATATTAACAAAGTTCATGAAGAGCCAAGCACTCCAGCATTAAGAATAATTTCAAATATGCCTTCATTTTACAGATAAGGGAAAAGATCTAAAGAGATGAACTAAGTGACCCAACTCAGATATCCTTCAGTTTTCACCGTTTTAATGTTTTATTTAATTTTCCAAGGACATATCCATAACCCCAATTTTACAAGCAAGTGACTCAGCAGCTATACCCAAGCCCATATCATATCACACCCCCCTGTCATTTTAAGACTAAAAGTACAAACGACATATATATCTATACCCATCTTTCTTCTCTGGCTTTGGAGCAGCACTGGGACATCTTTTTCCATTCTTCGTCGATATATAACTACACTGCTTGAACGGTGCATTCTTGTCTTCAAGGATATGCTTAAGACAAAACTCTTGCCCCTCCAGACGAGGTTGAGAGCATGGGCGATGAGTGAACGAACAAGATAGGAGCTCCTGAGACCTAGGCACTGGGGTGATCCTCCCCCGATTGGTTGGCAAGACGTGAATCCGAATCCTGTTCATACCAAAACCTGTAGGGTCACACGAAAGATCAAAAAGCCCTCACCCTTCGCGAAAATTCCTGCCCCACAACATCCGGACACACCGCTCGGGCAGTTTCCAAAGGGCAGAGTCGGTCTCGCATCGTACACTCCCTATCTCCCCGCCGCCATCCCCCCAGTCTCCCCAGGCACTTGGAATTTTGCCTCCCCTTAACTTCTCCCACCCGGACCCCCACCACCTTGAAGGTATATCTCCAGGACTCGCAACGCTGTAGCACTAAGGGAAGAGCCGGCGCCGGCCCCACGCGCCGGGCACGCCGCAGCACCGCGCCCCGCCCCCGCCTCCGGGCACGCCGCTTTTGTCCAGGCCCGCCTCAGAGCTCATGGCGGGGCCCTGCCCGGCCTCGGCGGCCCGTGCAAGCGCCATTTTGTCCTACGGCTCCAGGCACCGGAGAACCTGGCTCCTGGGAGCCTAAAAGAACAAGAGCGACTCCGACGCTGCTTGAGGCGAAATAGTAGCTGTGAGCCGACAGAAGTGGCGAAGCAGCAGCCTAACTGCAAGGGCGAAGAGCAAGCAGCGCCGCCATCTTACCTCTGCCGCCGCGCTGTGCAGCGCCACTAGCAGTCCTCTGGCAGCGCCAGCAGCTCCTAACTCGGCCCTCCGCCTTTCCGGAATCCTAACCGCTGATTGGCTACTGCACCACGGCGGTGTGTTGCCATTGGCCGAGGCCCGCTACCTATCATGTCTGGGAGGGCGGAGCACTGAGAAAATGCGTGGCTCGAATGGCCAAGTTGAGCTGTCTGTCAACAACTCCGCCCCGGGGAGAGTGAGCCGTGGGCAGTCGCTAGCCACCGAGGGCTTTCCACCTGGCAGTGTGGCGTGTTTGGTCGCTTTGGGCATCTCTGTCTGGGTTCGGATAGACAGAGGTAGCTGCTGTTACCTCACCACGCCTACACAGTGGGTATAAAATCGGAAGAGGCTGAAGGATCACTGTACATTTGACTCTTACTGTTCACACATGAAAAGGCTTTAGTTTTCTTTTGTAAGTAGTTCAATACATTTACTGAACATTTGGTGTACGGCTCCCTTCAACGTGTTTTGGGTGTCTATTATGAATTGGGGAATTACATATATAAATTCATTTTTCAGAGCAACTCTAAGAGGTAGAGGTTATTATTATCATCTCCATTTTACAGATAAAATGACCACGGAACAGAAAGGGCCCTTTGCTAGTAGATGGTTGAGAGAGGCAAATTCAAACCCAACCCTCATCCTTTATCCCTTATTGCCTCCCATATGGTAAGGAACATTGGACCGAGAAAAAAGAAATACGAGTTCTGGTATAGGCCCTGCTTCTCATAAACTATGTGTTCTGATTCTCTACAGTTTTCTACAATCCATGCTAAATAATGCAGGTATTAGAGAAATGACAGACACAATACCAATTTTCTCATCCTTTAAGAATTTTTAGTTCTAAGAATCTTTCTTCTGTTATCTCCACTTCTCTTGTAGAAATAATCCAATGCTTTCTCCCCATACCCCTTCAAGTTTTTTTGCATCCCAACCTCCCTTATTTGCTGTCACTTTCATTTAAGTAAGATACTCTATCCATGACCAATGAGCAGGTGCACATGATTCACTGTGAAGATGAACATAGAGAATCTACAGCCCTCAAGAAAGGCAGCCTGGAACTAGCCAGCTAGCTCACTTGGTTAGAGCCTGGTGCTAGTAACACCAAGGTCAAAGGTTCAGATCCCCATACTGGCCAGCAGCCAAAAAAGAAAAGAAAAGCAGTTTGTTTAGGGGCAAGAATTGATTAGAACAAAAAGGGAGGGGAGAGACAGCATATACTGTTTCCAGAGACTAGGGCAGAAGACCCTTTCCTGAAATTCATTTGTTCAACAAACATGTATTGAGCACCTAAGAGTTAGGCACTGGGAACCACAAAAGAGAACAAGATAAACCTGCTCTCTTGGAGTGAACATTCTAAAACAGTTTGGGACTGTGGATGCAATACAAACATAATATTAATAGCAACAATAATTTATATACATAAGCAAACATTCCAACCCTCAGAAAGGGTACAAAGAAGACATTTTGTTATGAACACCCTATAACTCAAAACTAACTAGGCAGTCACATTACAGAAAATTGGAGAATTAGAATCTGCAACCAAATATGGTGATATCAAAAAGGAATATTAAAACTACTATAAGTGACCAATGTGAATAGACATGGGAATAGATAGGGATACAACAAAGACTTAGAGGGGCTACTGAAGGTCTTAGTTGGAGAAAAAAAAAACCCTTCTGCTAAGTCCAAGACAGACAAAAAAATTACTATTTAGAACCACTTTTGGACTGGCTGGTTAGCTCAGTTGATTAGACCATGGTGTAATACCAAGGCCAAGGGTTCAGATCCCCATACCAGGCAGCCACCAAAAAAAAAAGAACCTCTTCTAGGGCAGGGAGGAGGGGAGCAGATATTATTAAAGGGTCAAGATATTGGCAAATTCTTATTACTGTTTAACAAAGTTTTAATTCACTGAACACTTTGCTAGCTATTAAAGAGATTAAAATGGACCTGAGGCTGTAAATAGGGGTTTGGAAGATAAACTCTTGAAGGAAAGAGAATTTTTGAGAATTTGGGGTTTTGAAGGCTAATCCTAGAGAAAGGTGAGAAAAAGGACAGAAGAAAAAGGGCTAACAACGCAAGCTGGTGCTACAAGGGCAGCTGGGTTAGTTTTTATAAAAAGAAAGAAAGAAATCTTTGTGTCAGAAGAGAACTTTCACAAGCTGTCACCACATCAACCCAAGACTGTAATTCTGCCAATATTCTCTGCCTTCTGTCTATTGTGACTTAACTGACCTTGCTCCTATCGGAGGCAAAATCCTCCACTTGCACACTAAATCCCATTTTATCTACTGGATCTTTCCCATCAGTATACACACAAGCCGCAATTTCTTTCATCTTAAAAACAGCAAAAATCTGGGCCAGCCTGTGGCTCACTCGGGAGAGTGTGGTGCTGATAACACCAAGGCCGCAGCTTCAGATCCTATACAGGGATGGCCCATTGGCTCACTGGCTGAGCGTGGTGCTGACGACACCAAGCCAAGTGTTGAGATCCCTTTACCGGTCATCTTTTAAAAAAAAAACAGCAAAAATCTTGATCTTACCTCTTCCTCCAGCTACTGCCCCATTTGTCTACCTACTCCTCTTTATAACAAAACTCAGAACAGCTGTCGCGACATGCTGTCTCCAGCTTCTCCCATTCTCTCTTGAACCCTTTCCAGATAGGTTCCCCCCAATGCTAAATTGCTAGTCAAGTTTTATCAATGACCTTCACTTGCTAATTTCAATGAAGTTTTCAGACCTTGCTAATTCCAGCGAAGTTTTCCCTCATCTTACAAGATCATTATGCGACATCTGACATCTTGGCCAGTCCCTCCTTAAAACACTTTCTAGATATCCATACTCTTCCTAGTTTTCCTCCTACCTCACAGTCTCAGAATCCCAGAATCTTTGTCTCTTCCCTCTTCCTTTTCATTTCCTCCAAGTTCTGAGCACTTCCTGGACACTTCTCTTTTCTTCTAACACTCCCTTGGTTATCTTACTCTGTATCATCCCATTCATAAGCTGATGACTCCCAAATGAACATCTCCAGCCTGGACCCCTCCTTTGAACTTCAGACTCTATATCCATCTGTCCAGTAGACATCTCCACTTGGATGCCTAATTGGCATTTCAAATTTAATGTCAAAAACAACCTCTTGCTCCTCCCATAGTCATTCCTATCTCAATACGTGATAACCCTATCCTTCCAGTTGGTCACACCAAACACTGGGAGTCATCCTTGACTTCTTTCTCTTCCACCTTATAGCATATCCTAGTGGCTCCACCTTCGAGATATATCACCACTTGCCATTACCTTCATTATTTCCAACCTGTCCAAGCCACCTTCATCCCTTACCTAAATTGTTGAGAGCCCCCTTGACTCTTAAAATCTATTTTTAAGATGGCAGCCCAAATGAACATTTTAAAACCTAAGTTGGATGTAACTTCTCTGCTCAAAACTTCCCAGTGGTGTCTGTCCCATTCACTCAGATCTTTACCACGCCTACAATGCCCTGCAGTATCTGGCTTTCTATTGCCTTTCTAACCTCAAATGCCACTACTGCACCCCTGCCCTCTATTTTCATACCAGCTACACTGGACTCCTTGCGACTTCTCAAACACACCAGCATGTTCTCATCTCAGAACTTCCGATGTTTCAGATGTTTCCTAGAATGACCCTGGAGTGATCTTAATCCCAGCTAGACCCATGGCTTGCTTTCTCACCTCCTTTGGGTGCTTAATAAAATGTAACCTCATGAGCCCTTCCTTAGCCACTTTTTTTCCAATTGCAAAAACTTTGCTTACCTGCACACACACACACAATCCCTATCCCCCTTTCCCTGCTTTACATTCCCAAAGTACTCATCACCATCTAACATACTGTTTTACTGATTTGTAAATTCTTTGAAGAGAGCTTGCTTGTTTACTGCCATATTCCCATCAGTAAACAGTACATAACAGCACTTAGTAGATATTATTTTGTAAAGGAATAAATGAAAGGCAGGGGAGTGCCTGAAAGTACTTTTCAGAAAAGGTATATCTTAGTATTCAATTTTAACTTCTCAGCACTTTTTTGATTATCTGTTGGTTGCGAGTGTTATGTGAAATGAACAGGTTGAGATTCCACAGTAACAAAAACAGAACAAGTAGGACAATGTAACAACCCATAAACTAAATAAATTCAGCAAAAGTAGGCCCCAAGACCCAGAGATTACTATGAATACAAGCCTCTAAGAGAATCCACATAAGTCTTTGAAAGGGCTTCAAATTTTCTACAGAATGTTGAATGGTAGAGATCAAGCCAATCTTATTTAGCTCTGTGTCCAGGACACCAGGATGTGATGTAGACATTGTTCATAAGATGAAGCCTAGCTGTGTAACAATTAGCTTAACAAACACTATAATTGGGGCTCCTGCTATACAAAACTCTAAATTGATTTATACCTCATCAATTCACAAGGATGACAAACCAGATCCAAATTCCTACACTGTCAGCAACTTGCACAAAAATTTCGGGAAAGGCAAAGCAAACAAAAATTTTAAGTTACCTTATTTTTTTTTTCCTTTTTGTCTTTTTTACTGACCGG